GTCTCCTGATATTCATCAAAACTCAAGAGTGCCAAGGAGTCAAATGGCAGGAGCCCCAATGAACAGCAATTAGTCAGCACTAGGAGTAGCTGAGCAGGCCTAGAATAGACCAGCAGCAACAGGACGGGCAAATGGGCGATGAGCCCAAACAGGGCTGAAGGCTAAAATCAAATTCAGACAACTTGGTAATCAAGTAAGTTTCGAGAAAAACTGACCCCACACTGTGAAGGGCAGCCATATGGTAAGGACAGACAGTGTCTGAATCAGCCCAGCCATTTAGGAAAGCAGCAGTTAGTATTAATCAAAAGCTGTCATTAGCCATGCTGTAGAGGACTCATCTCTCACTTGACCTTTTCAGTTATAGCTTCCTGCACATCCTACTTCCTATCACACTGTCAGCTTCTCAACATTAGGAACACTTGGTTTCTGTAAGGAGTATGCCATAGGATGGCTGGGGATTGGCTATCAACAAGCTTTTTTGGAGCTAGTAAAGCGACATTATTTTCATTCATGAAGTATAATATTTTTTCAAATCCTCATATAAAGTTGATTTCATAATGGTGGCACTGGTGGCAACAACAATGCTTGTATACCTTACACTAATACAACAGAATATGTAAATTATATTTTAAAAAACTGGGGGAAAACTCTAAGCCAAAAATGGAAAAACAGCAATGTGGTTTTTATCACAATATTTTCAATGAGCCCTTTTTCTCATTTTTTCTGAAATGAGAAGCTGACATTTGCCCTTCTGTTGAACTTAATCTTGCCAATCTGTAAGATGTTAATAAGTAATTTTCCAACCTCATTGTATGTGAAAAAACTATTCATTCTGCAGGGAAGTGAGTCATCACTAGTAGAGACCATTATGACAACAGAAGGCTTTCAGTGTCAATAATTAGACAAGAGCCCCCAGACTCCATAACAATCTTGCTCTTCAGAGAGCCTCAGTAATCCCACATGACCAGAACATCTAGTCTGCGATAGATTGTCCTACGTTTTAAAAATACATCAAATTCAGATTCAAGAAGAACTTTCTTTTCTCAGTGGCTCCATGTGGATTTTTAATTGCAACCCTTTCAGGGAATAATAGTTTGATTACACTACTATGCAATGTTCAAGTCAACTTTTAAAGCTATTAATACTGCCACAAGCTCTCACAGGCAAATTTTTCATAATATAAAATCTCACCAAATATTGCCAAATTTTTACTCATTGTCCAAACTAAGATGGAGCTCTTATATATAAGATTTATCACTCATCAGCAGGTAAGAAAAATAAATGTTTTATTACAAATCTAGTTACAAGGGTAGTCTAATAACACTTTCAAAGTGAATTCACCTACTAGATCAAATGACTCATTTATTGAGAGAAAACAATTTTGTGTTTTGATTCATACACTGCTCCCTAGTTTGTATTACTTTTTTACAACAGACATTTTAATAAAGACCCTACGCCTCACTCTCTCTGTATTGTCCACAGCAGCAACACAGTGCCTTGCCAGTACAGGGAAAACGAAGGAACATGCAAACATACTTCTAGTACCCTTTTATCCTGATCCACAATACAAATCTGATTGTTTCCTGGAAAATGCCTCTTTTAAAAAGGCATACTTCTACACTATTTTTAATTATGTACTGTTTATAGAAAATGCAAGTAAAGCTAACACTTTGACACTTAGTTCCTTATTTGGCAGAAATGTATTACAAGTAACATCACCCCACTATGTGCAACATTATCATCTATAAATTCTCCCAAATGAGAAAAATCTTGTGTCTGCCATAAACTTGGATGCAAGGGGTTCTAAGCCCAAATGCAAATGATTTCACCATCAAAACACTATAATGGCTAAATTGTTAACTAAACCAACAAAAACAAATAAAAGTATACTGGAAGAAAAAACTGCTGACTGGAAATAGAGACAAAGGGGTTCCTGTCCCTGCTTAGCCGTTAATTTACTGTCTGACTTTACCTAATTAGTTAAGTCTCTGTGGGTCTCAACTTCCTCATTTTAATATTAAATTTTAAGGCACTTTCAAACTACACACCATGGCTCAGCACATGTAGCACTGTCCTGAAGACTGATTCACATTAATACTACCCAAAATTCACATTTAACAGGTTACTTTTAAATATATGACTATCAATGTCTATCAAAGGCAATTTATTAAAATGTCAGATGAGCTTAAGTTTATTTCAAGTAAAGAACTAAATCAAGGATATTAAAGCAAGTATTGCTTACAGACTCAAGTTTCACCTAGACAGCTGCTGCTATTCTTGAGAGAACTGCCTTTCTTTAACAGTATAGTTGAAAATTACACCTCTCTACAAAAGGAGAAAACTGGTATGGGTGATTCTCTTAGTCTCAAAAATGCAAAAACATAGCTTTTCACTTTCTTTTTCCTTTTCTATATTCTATATTATTTAGAGGAAAGCAGAAAGGCCAGCTGAACTTGGGAGGCAGAGAGAAAAGTGAAGTTCCAGTGCAGACCCAGACAAGCCCCTCTCGATGCATGTACTGTACTAGAGAAGTTTCCTTCATTAGTGTTCACAACCCAAATGAAATAAAAAGATTTCCTGTGGCTACATGGGAAGAGTATGAACAAGTGAAGAATGCCGTACGACAGCAGCTAACCTAAAGTCTGAAGACTTGCCCTAAAAAATGAGATTCAGAGCATTCTGGAAAGGGTAATAAAATACTTTCTATAAACTTAGGGTTTGTAAAACCTAAGCTTTCCCCCATTCCAATCTGGTCCTCCTCTGGGATCTTATTTTCTTCAACAGCAGAGATTATCTTAAACATCTTTATAGATGGAAGTCACCACACAGATACCTTTGTTTCTTGTGACCTCCCAAGTTTCAACCACTCCCTCCAACTCCCTCTCCCTATCAACAAAAACACACCACAAAGCTACTAAGCAATCAGACTGCTTCCACAGGGCCCAGCACAGGTGATTAATAATTATTAGCTGAATGCACAGTGAGTATAGATGGATGAATGATGCAATACTCATAAATATTTTACAGCAATTTACAAGGTATGCAGAATTCCCAGTGCATCCAAACCTGAATTTGATAGTGATCATTTAAATTTTCTCTTTCTGAAGTGTGGTTCACCAATCACAATTTCAGAAACTTGCCCAGAGGTGCAGAGCTAGTAAGCTTTTCATATTCAGAAATGGTCCCTGGCTTTGTCCTCTCTAAGACAGCTGTTTGAGAATAGGCTTGATTAGTGCTTTTAGAATGGGAATGAGGTGTTGTCCCATTCTGGTTTCCTGTTGTGAAATGTGAGACCTCAAAATCTGTAGGTTACAGGCTAGATCAAGAAAGAAGACTTTGTACTCAAACAAGGAGCTCTGACAAAAGAAGTCTAACCAAGCACCTTATAAAAATTTACTGATTCTACTTCCCAGTTCCGAGTCCCAGTTTGGGGCTCCTTGCTAGTCTTCAAAGCAGCATTAGCTGATTACTCAGAATCTGCTTCTAATCTTAACTTTCTGAGCCTGTACACGCACATTCATCAGGTGGGCTGAATTGAAAGCCAGAAAAAACACTTCCCGGCCCATGCACACGTGCTGATCTAGTAGTGCAAGTACACAGAAAGCTGAAGGGAGTGATCTCAATATAAAGGATAAAGCTCCATAAGGTGCTTCCCAACATTTAAGAGGAGTTAATGTCTACTTCTGCTTGCTTTGCCCAGAAATGTAAACTCTAAAGAGCCCTTTGAATAATCAAAGGCACACAACCAGAGTATGATGCCCAGGCCAATCGTGAAAATAGCAAGCTCCAGTTCAGCCAACCTAAGACCCATAACACTAAATATTCTCAATGCGCAGGTATTTAACACAGAGCTATTTCCACTAGGCAAGCCTGGCTGCCCTAAAGATTCAGGCCTCCCTCACCTCCGGTGAAGCCTCCCTCCATCCCAATTTCTCTGATTTTTTTTTTTTTTTCATATTGTTCTGGGAAGAGTTCAGGAAGACAACATTTACACACTCTCCAGACATGCAATTATGCAACATCTCATCATGTTGTCACACTGAAGCAAGGGCATTGAACACAAGGCAGTGAGTGGCTCCTGTGTGGAATAAAAGTTCTGAAAATTAGTTGGCACTCCATCCTTAAGTCCTACTACTGATAAAAGGAGACATATATCAAAGTCTGTTTTCATAACCTTGTGAGGAGAATTTGAGAGCTGTTTCCGCTCCTCGGTGCCACACATCATCCCTCAGCTGAGAGCATCCACAGACGTCAGGACCTTGGTTTTATTTTAAGGAGTGTAGTAACTAGCACTAACTGAAGTCCTCTGGGGTCCACACAAAGTGGGACCCCCTTCCTTTGCAAGCCCTCTCAAGTCAGCAGAGGGAAGCCAGTGATAAAGCTTCCCCTCCCCCACCATCACCACCACCTTTAAGGCTTTAAAGAGAACTGCACGTGATTTTAATGCCTTGCTTCACCTTAATTTACAGAAAGCGGGGTCGGAGGACCCACAAACCCAGGAGAACAGTCGAAACAAAGATCCCCCCCCAAGGGCAGACGCACACTGAAGCCGCAAAGCACGTTCCATCAACCTTTCACTGTAGTCGGCTTCCTGTGGGGTTGATTCCCCCACCCCTGTCCTCTGAGGAAAGTTTAAGGCTGTTCACAGCACACCGACTTTCAAAGGTCCATTGTTTCCTTCCCGAAGACGGAATAAAAAGCGAGGAGAGGACGAAATCAAGAAGTGCTTCCCACAGACACTTACAGAGAGGATTTACTCCGGGGAGTCCGGTTACTCCTAACCTAGACTGGGGAGAGTCGGGCCAAGGGGAGGGCGGGAAGATGCTGGGGTGGGGGGGGGGGTCGGGGGCGGGAACATGTTTTCCATTTCAGCTAAAATAAAATGCCCAAGTCTCAGCCCGCCCGCGGCCGGGAAGGTGCGCAAGACCCGGTCCGCGTCCTCGCAGGGGCCCCCTGCGCGCAGCAAGGGAGGCGGGGTGGGTGACCCCCTCCCTTCTTACCTTCCCCTCCCTCGCTTAGGGACGGTTCACTCAGGTGTCTACACCGCGATCCAAAATGAGGGAGCCGAGCCCCTGGCGCCCGCCGGTCCGGATGTCCTTCCCATGGCCAGGGAGTCCCCTGGAGCCCCGGCGGCTGCTGCTTTTACGCAACGGGCAGCCGCAGCCTCTGCCTGGAGGTGAAACACTCTCCTCCCGGGAGTGACGCGCACTTCTGCCCGCCTCCGCCGCCTCCCGCTCCAGCCCCGAGTCTCGGAGGCCGGGGCCTCGGCTCGCTCGCTCCCGCAGCCGCCGCTGGGCTTTCTAGACTCCTTCCCCTCCTGGAGGAGAGAGGAGAATCGCGGCCCCGGGGGCGCGGGTCGGAGCCCCGGTGACAATGGGGAGGAGGCTGCGCAGCGGGGCACCGAGGGGCTCCGGGAGGCGCGCTCGTCCTGGTCGACGGGCGCCGCGGCTCGCGAGGGTCGCGCTCAGCCTCCGCCGGCCAGACGAGCCGCCCGGCTGTCTCGGGCCCAGGGCTGCGGATTGGGCTGGCGGGCGCGGAGACGCAGGAGGCGGAGGGAGAGGAGGAGCCTGCGGCCGGAGGAGGCGGGGACCTCGCGGGGCTCCCCCCACCTCCCACCCCCTCCCCTGCCCGCTTCGCGGAGCTGCGGGCGCGGAACTGCGCGCCCTGGGTCTCCGCCGTGCGCCTCCGCCGTGCGCGCGGCGCGAGGGCCGGCCCGCTCCTGCAGCCTCCGGGCGGCGGCTGCAGGCGCACAGGCGTGAGGCGCCACGAGCACACGGGCCGGGCTGTACCTGAGTCTGTGTCCCATCACCTTGCAACTGAGTCCGAGCCTTCCGCACCCATCAGCCCCGCTAGGACAGTGCCTCCCATTTGTCCCCGGCTGAGCCTGACCGTGACCCGTCATCACCTCTCTGTTCAGCTTGACCCTGAGCCTCTCTCACCTCCTCGCTGAGCCCGACGCGGCGCCCCCCACCACTTGCAGGTGAACCGGCCACTGCGCGCCCATCACCTCCGGGATGAGCCTGACACTGCGTGCCTGTCACCCCTCGGCTGCGCTGAAGCTGGCATGGCATCGCGCCTGCTTGAATCCCTTTTTGTCCCCCCAGGAACTTCCACAGCGCCTGCAAATTTTCTCTGCCTCCGGCCACCGCACCACGGCCGCCCCCACCTGGCCAACCGTCGGTGTTGGAGTCTTCGCTCTTTCCGAAGAACCAGTTGCTCTCCACTCAGGACAGCTCCTCCCGCCGCCGGGAGCGGTCGACCACCCTGGCTCTCAAAGCCGAATAAATTCAGCTGCTTCTCCCCACGCCCCCTGCAGTGGGAGTGGCTGCTGCTAGCGGGAGTGGCGCTGAAAGCCACTCCCCCGCCCACCCCAAGGCCCGGTACCTCTCCATGGACGTCCGGACCTCCGCTGAGCAGCCCGGCTGCCACCGCCCCGGCTGGAGCTGCTCTCGCTGAGGAAAAGCCTTGGCTTCCACGGAGGGCGCGGCCGGACTTGATCAGTCAGACCCACGAGGTCCCGAGCTAGTGACAGCTTCCAGGCTGCCAAATTCTGGCCGTCATCATCCTCTCGTTCAGAATTGGAAGTTTTCCCCTTAGGGAACCCTTTCCCTGAATACTGTACAGATAGGCTCGTTCAGTTTTCAGGGATCCTCTCTTTCTGTTTCCCCACCTTTTAAATAAAAACTCAGTCGTATAAAATCATGGCACACCCAGCAAGAGGGCAGGGGAATTCCCTATTTGCGGGGGAGGATGTGGAGGAGGGGGGAGGTTGGTTCAGGACTTTGTAGGAATCAAGTCTGCAAGTCTTGGCTGATGATAAGAGTCTCCCAAGGCACTTAAAAAAAAAAAAAAAAAAAAAAGGATTCCCAGACCTTGCAAAATTTACTGATTCACAGGTGCCTGGAATATGAAAGTTTGGGAAGCAGTGCTAGAATGCATACTCATATTAACTAAAACCCTGGAAAGATGCCCCCAAATAGCAACATGGACTTGAAGAAACATTACTTAACTTTGGGAGCCTCTTCAGGGCTAGCGAAGAAGGTTCTTAAATAAGCCAGATAGTTGTGAATGACAAACTGGAAGGAACAAAGACCATTTTGATGGGCCAAGGGTAAAATATTTATGATCATGCATCCTAAAGATAGGGCAGGGACTTTGGTATGCTGAAAAATAGCCCACCAAAGGTATCAGATCCTAGTTAGGAGAACTTATAAGTGTTCCCTGGAAACAGGATGTTTGCTGGTGTGATTATATCATGAGTCTTGCATTGAGGAGATTATTCTGAGGTGTCTGGTACCAAGGAGCTGCAAATCCCTTGTCCTTATAGAGGAGGGCAGGGAGGAAACTTGACACACTCGGGAAGCAGGCAGTGTGCTCACAGAGGCAGAGAAGAGGGATGCAGCCGCAAGTCAAGGAATGCCAGCACCTGCCCGATTGTGGGACAGGCAAGGAAGAACTCTTCCCTATAGCCTCCAGGGTGATGTGTTTCTGCTGACACCTTGACTGCAGCTCAGAGAAACTGATTTAGGGCTCTGGCCTCCAGGAGTATGAGAGAATACATTTCTGTTGTTTTAAGCTGCCAAGTTTGTGGTGATATGTTACCGCAGCCGCCCCCATGGGCTGTGAATGCTAACTTTACATTACAAATGCCTATTTTCTGAATCTTTATTAATGGGCAGACACTTTGCTTGGATACATAACTTAGGATATGTATCCTAAGTTAATTCTGCAATAGTTATTATTATTCTAATTTTAGAGATGAGGACACAGGAACTCAGAAAGTTAAGAAGCCTGGGTAAAGTCACACAGGAAGAGTCAATTGGAATTAAATCTGTCGATCCCTCGAAATAAAAATAACAATTAGAAATTCATATAAACTATATAACGGAAATTTTGGTTTTAAGACATCTTACTTCCATAGACGATATCCACTGCCAAAACCAAGGGAAAGAGATATTAATAGCGAGGGAGAGCATGCCTGCATAGGGGTTGAGATTCGTTGACTGTGGTGGTTGGGTTAGAGGGAAGACACAGAAACTAAAATGGAAATAAAACATTTTGTGAACCTAAAACTGCCCTAAATAATGCTTATTTTAAAAAGAGAAACTGGGCCTCCCTGGTGGTGCAAGAGGTTAAGCACCGCACTATGAAGCAATCCATAGCCTCTGCAGCACAAGTTCAATTCCCAGCCGGCCAGGGAACAATCCACATGGTGCAGCAGACCTCTCCTGTCTCACCCAGTGCTCCCCTCAGCAGTGTACTTTGGTCAATCTGCCTGTTCTGTTTCCCACTCTGTCTCTGGTGAATCCTCTCACCACCCCACATCTCTGGCTCTCGTAAGCATAAATAAATAAATGTAAAACAAAAAGAGGAACAGAATTGAAACTTTGTGTAACCTACCTTTAAGATTTTATAAACTTTTGTTCTTATAATATTTATCTGGAACATGAAAAAATGAGAGGAAACTAACCTGAAAGGAAGTTATAAAGGAGGATGAACAAAGCGAGAGGCCAAGACGGCTCGGTCACTGGAAGTGCGGCTGCCACCTATGGGGTTTCTCAGAGAAACAGGCTCTGAGGTGGGGTGGCCAGATGGTCACTAAGGAGTGCCCGTGGGTTGGGCAGACACCTGTGGAGGGCGGGACAGGAAGCAGGATGGGGCGGAGGGACAGGTTGAGTTGCAATGTGGGCCCTACAACAGGCTCAGCCAGCCCCTTACAGGCCCCGAAACTAGCAAGTTCCTTCAGCATTATTGTGCCTAAGTTGCTAGATCTTTATAGAGCCTCATGAGTCAGTCTTTGGAAGTGGGAAATGGCCTGACCTTGAACAAGGTGACTCTGCAGCTGAGGCAGTCCCTGAAAAGGCCAGCTGTCAGCAACACTCACAGTCAGGCAGCATGTCTTCCCTTAAAGGCAGATCTTGTTGGCAGCTCTGTGTCCCCCATTCAAGTGATTTGTGACACACCTTCACCATTGTCCTGTTCTTTCCTTATGAGAGAAAAACCCATTATGAGAATGGGGTGTTCATTTGATGTGTTCTTTTTATCCCAGTTGGTGGCAATGTTGACAGTCCAGAGGCAGGAGAGCACACTGGCTAAGTCAGGTTTGGTCAGTCAGTTTGCCTGGATTAGAACCAGGGTCTGTAACTCACTAGCGATATAATTTTGGACAAGATGTTCAACCTCACTGTGACGCAGTCTCTTCATGTAAACTTGAGACTATGAAAAATGCACTGGTTACCAGAGAGACTAGGACGTCACTGTGGGAGTTTCAGTGGAGGGGGAGTGAAACATGTGCATACATGGAGGGGCGCAGATGTACCGCCAAAATCTTATGGTTATGTAAGCAACTGACGATCAAATTTGGGGAAAAAACAAAGTTGAGAATAGTTGACTGTGGCAGTTGGGTTCAAGGGAGGACACAGAGCTAACTAAAAGGGAAATAAAACTTATTAAATTGCCTTCCCCAAAAACCTAATAAGTAAAAAAATTGATTCAAAATATAGCAAGAACATACTAAGAATAGGGAATCATGAAATTCTTACATTTATTAAATTAACCAAGATCAGCAGTCTGAGCTTCAAAATGAATTTAGTAAATGATTTTGAAAATTAGCATGTATTATCCAATAAAAGATGTTACTAATTCCTTTGTCTTTGAAAAAAGGATAAAATACGCTTTATAGTTAAAAAAAATACAGCATTCCATGATCACACACACACACACAAAATTAGTGGGAGTAGTAATAAGATCGACCCTACAGAATAGTTATGAGAATTAAATATCGCATAAGGCAATGCATGAGGGCTTAGCTGTATATACCTAATAAATTCCCAGCAAATTGTATTACCGTGCCTCTGTTATCTCTTCCTTAGCCCTCATTATTGGGTAACATGGAATCTTATAGTAGCTTACATTTGCAATAATTTTTCTCGGGGGTTAGGAAACCAAGTGTACTTGCGATCCAGGCTAAAGGTGGAGGCCTTGAGAAACATAACATATACCAAGCATTACTTAAATAAAGCTGGAACTTTCATTTTTAATGATGAGAATCAATAACCACTCTCCAAATATGCCATGTTCTTTCAAACCTCTCTGACTTCTGTATCCCTGTCTCTTTGAATACCAGTTCTCCCATTCACTATCCTGGCTAGCCCAGCCCGTCGTCATACTTGCCACTGTCCT